GCGCAGGAAGGCAGCGGGGAGGAAAAGGGCCGGAGATGCCCCCGGAGGAGGGGCTGCAAAGCCAGCCCAGGGAGCTGTGAGGAGGAAAGAGCCGTCCTGTGCCGGGAAGGCGGCCGGAGCTTGAGCCGGAGCTCCGAGCTGGTGGTCCCTGAGCAGCCTCCCAGCAGGGAGAAGCCCTTCAGGTGCTTGAAATGTGGGAAGAGATTCAGGAAGAGCAACAACCTCCTCACCCACCAGCACATCCACACTGGGGAACGGCCCTACACATGTAGGGAATGTGGGAAGAGCTTCGGGGACAACTCCACCCTCCACAAGCACCTGCGCATCCATACTGGGGAACGGCCCTACACATGTAGGGAATGTGCGAAGAGCTTCAGCCAGAGCTCCAGCCTCCACATCCACCAGCGCATACACACTGGGGAACGGCCATACAGGTGTAGGAAATGTGGGAAGAGCTTCAGTGTGAACTCCTCCCTGATCAAACACCAGCGTTTCCACACTGGGGAACGGCCCTACAAGTGCTTGGAATGTGGAAAGAGGTTTCAGCGCAGCTCACATCTCCTCGTCCATGAGCGGATTCACACAGATGAGAGGCCCTTCCGCTGCACCGACTGCGGGAAGGGCTTCAAACACAACTCCACCCTTGTCACCCACCGGCGCATCCACACCGGGGAGAGGCCCTACAAGTGTGGGGAGTGTGGGAAGAGCTTCTCCCAAAGCTCTGCCTTGACCAAACACCAACAGACCCACCAGTAATGGAAGCCCCTCGAGTGCCCCGACTGCGGGAAGAGCTTCGGCCGCTGCTCCTACCCCGAATGACCCCCCTGATGGTGAGGCAACCCCTGGAGTCCAGTGACTGTCAGTCCATCCCTTTCCACCAGAAAGGGCCAGTCCCCTTTCTGAGGGGCAGGTTGTGCCAACCGAACCCTTCTTGGGGGGTGTGTGGAGATTCCTGTCTTGGCTGGGACCCCCCAAGGTCAGTGCTGGAGGTTGAGAGCAGAGATCTCCCCCTGATCGTTGGTCTGGGGGAGTTCCATCCATCCATCTCTAATGAATAATTCTTGCTTTGGTGCCAGCTTGAGTAGAATTACTTCAACAATTGCTTTAGTGTAGAGCACTGTCCTATCTTATGCTGTACTGCTGGTAGTTTTAGTGTTTCTATTGTGCAGTAAATAATTCTGATGAAGATCTGTTGTCTAGTAATTTGTAACCCTAAATAATTCATATCTCTCAGTAGATCTGATTTACCATCATTAAAATCTTGGGCACAAAAGTGGTTCAATCCCACCTCTGTAATTCCTCTAAACTGAACCTGTTGGCATAACCCAAGGCTGAGATTGGATCCTGCAGCCCCTAGCACCACACAGTAAGTTGGGAGCTCAGAGGGGCCACCCCCCTTTTGTAAATATCCCTGTGCCCAAAGACCCCCATGGGACTTTCAGACTTGCCAGTCCACTCCCCTTTTCCACTCTTCTCCCTGTTCCTCCCACTTTTCCATAGTCCCCTGCTACAATCTGCTTAAATATTGCAGAAATAACTTCAGATTCCAATATTCCCTTATGCAAAACTAAAACTCACACAAGTTATCTGTTGATACCAAAAATTGATTTTTATTAATTGCTAAGAGATACAAAGAGAATGAGGAAAAAATAAGAAAAAGTTGGAAACTGCTGGGATTATTTCTACATGCAGAGAAAAGATACCACTGAAAACTTTCTTCTCCCACTGAGCTGGTCTGTGTGTGGGGGAAGAGAAGCAGTTTCTGCCTTTCTTTTCTCTGTCCCTGCAGCTTTTGGATGTTGTCTCTGTAGCTGCAGGGGCTCTGACAGTGAAACCCCTCAAATGAAGCAGTCTCTGAGGCAGTCTCTGAGAAACAAAAGGTTAAACACAAAATTGTGGAAATAACTCCAAAACCTTAATGTCAGGAAACCACAAATAATAAATTCTCTAAGAAACAGAACATGCTGACAAGATGGAACTAAAAGGAGATAACAATATCAAGAAATATTAAAACAAGCCAAGGATGAGCCAAAAAGTCATCCTGACCCTATCATATTTGCCAGCTGCCCAAATTAGGAAAAGATTTCAGGACAGTTCAAAAGTTTAGACTGAAGATGATGATGAACGACCACTGCCCATGATGAAGATTACAGGAACTCCCACCTTTAACCTCCCCAAATTAAAGACTCCGCCTATATATGAATATTACAAGTAGATGTTGCAATTTAATCAATATGCATGTTTGTGATGTAATCCTATACTCTCACACTGTATAAAAGTGCTGTATTGAATGTATTCGACAGAGTTCTTTGTCCAGGGAGACCTGGGAACTCTCCAACGCGTTGCATTAAAATAC